CCACGTGGAGGTCGACCGAGACGGTATATTGCTAGCAGTGGGACTAGTAGCCTACATTATTAAAAAATCCTCCCCCCAGACGTTACATGTTATTCACATAACTAGTTAAGTACAGTAATTAGTTAGGCATATGGCTTGTACCTACCTAGTATAGTATTTGCCTTGTGGTCCCTGTATAGAATGGACCACTCCTTCCGTTCCCGTGGTTGTTATAACAGGCCACTTAGAAAACTTAATGGTCGAGGGATTGGCAGCAGCGTCCTTCCTTTAAGATCACCAAAACCTAACTTATTGTCAACCGTGGCAACTACTGGCAAAACACTCAATAGGGGAAGGCATACATTCAGCAGTGGGCAGCTAACGGCTGATATGATGATTTATGCATACAGCTAAATATATAACTATTTACCAGTCGATGGATAAAATGGTATAGAATGCTGCTTAGGCATCGTACTCCAAGAAGTGGAAGTCAATGGTCTCACCACAAAAGATGCTGAAGACCTGGCAAAGTGGAAGAAGTTAAGTCAGAAGGCTGCAAAAGCAGGAATTAATAACGCCAGGCAGAATAAATTAAATAAGTATAGACATACTTTTTGCACATTTGAAATTCTGTTTTCAATCTATTTTCGTGGCGTCATTTATATTTTTTTTTTAAATTATGCGTTTACATATTATTAGGCTATTTTGTGTCTATATTCAAAAAACAGGTTTTCAAAGCGTCCATACAATACTCAAACTGCCAATCCAATGATGCTTGTCACTTATTAGCTTCTTATATATAACCTTCAGCTCTGTACCAGTTCAATTTTTTCGACCATCCATTATCGGTATTACCTATATTTTAATAGACATATGCAGTGAAGCGTGAACCTGCCGAAATTACAGCAAACGTGATTGCTTCCTCCGCCGCTACAAGACAGATTTCAGCTCCCCCGATGGACATAAAACTCTTTAGATATTTTGTAGGAAAAAAATATTACTTCTACTTACAGCTTTTTGTATTTCATGTTTCAATAAGGAGAGTGCTACTCTATTCATTTGTTTCTTTTTATATATCATAATGACAAATAAAGGTCCCCCATAAAGGGGAGGGTGGGGTCCTTTTATGGCGGAGTTCGACAGTGGACAGTTAACGGCTGATGTGATGATAATGATGATGATACACGATATCGTCGCAATATTTGAACAGACTTTATTATTTTTAAAATCAATCAATCATTATGTATTTGAATAACATAGGTACAGTTATAAGTTTGACGTTTTAAAATATTTTAAACGCTATGTTTATATATTAATTACTCCCGTTTTGATTAATTTTATTACAGTCAATGCCTCTGTTTTTCTTGACGGGGCAAAGTCTTATTTGTTGTGAAACAAAATTCCTAACAATAAAAAAAATCTATTGATATTACTTTTATTTTGTAGTTTTTTTTGTGTGTGTGTAATTTATAAGCTTAACTATTTGAGGTATATTTATGAAATTTGGAGGTCTAATTAATCTATGGATTTTTAATAAATAAACCAAGATTAATGTATTTGTGTTCAATAGATTTAGAGTTATTAAAAGGCAAAAAATAGTTCACTCTTACGCTACCTACCCACTTCTACTTGTTCTTCTTTAACCAAAGCTTGTCTGTAAAAGATTCCCCTAGCGATAAGACTGCCTTTTGTACCTTTATTTATATATGTTTTTCAATCTGTACATTATGCTACTATATTTCAACGATTTTTTTTAAATGTCATTGTTTTTTTATGTTTCTGGTGCAATAAAGAGTTAAAAATAACTTCAAATGTTTCGTGTAATACACGGTTGCTGTGTCGCCTGTTTTTGACTTGAACTTCACACGACGCGCTGCCGCATTTCTAGATTAGAAACCAAAGGGAAACTGTTCAGAAATTATACCACAACTAAGTTGTAAAAATCTTTGATGTACCACCTCATACATAGAGTAATTGCCACTTCCAATTTATTTACAATGTGCGCCAACAAAATTTCATGAAGCGCAAGTAATGCAACTACACAGTCCCTGTGATCGTATTCCCAGAACCGCACCGTAAATTTATATTACAAACATAGGCGTGGACACTTCAAAGACATTCGAAAGGGCCGGCCGAAACAAATAAACATATGATGCGGAGTTATGAGTTAGGGCCGTCGTTTGGACGCGGCAACCTTTGTGGTGCCGATTGAAATACTCGTGCCACGGGAGGGGAGGGATCGTTATTAATGGGGACAAGCAGCCCCGTCGCTACCAATATACCTGTCAGGTTGTTGTCATGGTGAATTAGTCATGATGACCCGAATAACCTAACCTCATACTCGCCTAAATACTTACTGGTACCCTATACTGGCCAACGTATAATATATAGAGAGCGCAGGCGAGGCCACTTTAAATTATATGCTAAATATCTTATAAATAAAAATAATTAATAATTTTTAATTATCATAGAAACACTCTCTAAATGAAACTAATAACAAATCGAAACGGTCAATAAATTAATCAATTTTGTAATTTTCTTGTTTTTTTTTTTATACAACTTAGAATGACAAACAAGCTGACGGCCCACCTGATGGAAAGTGGTAACCGTCGCCTATAGACATGAGCAATACCATGGACATAACAGAGTATACTGTTTCGCCCATGATACCCCCCATGCGTTGCCATTCCTGAGGACTCAGGTGTTATTCCTCTGTACCCAGTAAATTCATGCCATATCCCATCTTTCAAACCGAAACACAGCCATGCAAACACAACTGCTTCAAGGTAGAAACACGAATGGGACAGAGGTACCCAAGCAATCGACTTTTGTACAAAGTCTCCCTGTAGTACTACTATTATTAGGCATCAGACTGTCTTATGTTGTTGTTATACCAACTATTAACTGTCCACTGCTGAGCATAGCCTCTCCCATTAGGGAGGTTTACTAGTAGTTGTCACGGTCAGCAGGTGGTTTGGCAACTGCAGTTTGATTTTTGGTGATGTTTTAAGAGGGACGCGGCTGCCCATACCTCCACCATAAGCTCACTTAGTCGCCTCTTACAATACCCACGGAAATGGGAGGTGTGGCCTATTCTATTCCGGGACTTACACGGCTATTAGATTGTCTTATGGTCGGCTCAATTGTTTATTTATATTTGTATTAAGTTCTATAGAAACAAACTAAAAAACACACTCGTGCAAAGCGAGGACGGGTAGTTAGTTCTCGTATAAATTGAGATGCATGTGACGTCTGTCTGTCTTTAAATTTGTGGTCTATAATTATTACGAGAATAACGACGTCCCGATTGGTTTCATCCGCATACAATTTTAATATTGGATCGATAAGAAGCGAACAGTCTTTACTATGTCACTTCAATAAATTATCACCTCTTATAAATCTCGTCAGTTCAATGATGACATACAAGTATTGGCAGTGTGACTGTGTTATTATTCTTATAAATAACAGTGTGACGACCATTGTCACCACCCGTCAGTTGACATAGTCTTGTTATCTTCTGTTACAAACAGAAGAAAAAAAATACCGAGATCAAATTCATAATGTTAGTAAGAAATCTGTCCTTATTCATAATAACATCAAACTTGTCATAAACCTATTTTAGTTATTTAACTATTTTGTATATTTTATTTATACTAAATTCTAAATAATAATTTAATTTTTCAAAACTGTGCAATGGTTAAAGTAGATAGCAAGTAGTGTAGAAGGTTTTAGTTTTTATCAATAAGAGGGTTTATAAAAGACCTCTAATCAAAAATACTACAATTCAAAATCGGAAATTTTAGGAAAACAAAAAAAAAACTATTTATTTAAAAAAAAATATTTCTATCTCTTTTAGTATGTGGCAATAGTTAACGATAATAACTACTTTCGTAGTAATTTTGTTTTCTTACTTTTTAATGCTATTCATTTTAAGTATTATTTTTTTTTTATTTTTGTTCCTCCATGCATATAAATTATCAGCTTTTGAGTAAATCTTTTTTTTTTTGCTGATGGCACGTCAGTCCCCTAGTACCCTAATCGATTTTAGGTAGAGATGGGCAATCCACCTGGGTGGGTTTAAAGTCTGGTGGGTAAAAACCGGGTGTTTTGGGTTTATTGGGTTTAAACCCCATAAACACCCAAATTTTTGGGTGTTTATGATTTTGTACTTCATCATCGTCATCTCAGCCGCAAGACGTCCACTATACTGGACATAGACAATATTATTATGCAGCCTACAGAATAAAAAACTTTTAATTTGATTTTGAGTTTATTAAGAAAGAGATGAAAGTAAAATGTAAAACTACAGTCAATCACTGTCAGATTCAGAGTTATTACAAGCGATGAATTGTATAGGTTCGATAGGCTCTATTTCGTCTAAACTGTTATGTTCATTTACTTGCTCAATGAAAGCTTCTAAGGTATTTTCTTCATTAAACTGAATGTCCTCGCATTCAGCTTTATGTTTAAGATTCCAGTTATAACAAATGAATGAAATTTTTTCAGTTCTTTCAGTTGTAAGTCGATTTCTTTTGTTATTATGTATGTAGCCTTGGATACTAAAGGAACGCTCAGTGGCTGCCGAAGTACAGGGAGCTGATAGAATACGAATCGCTACTTTGCTTAACTCAGTGGAACCACAAATACCTTTCCACCATATTAGGGGCTCAATGCTATCTAATGAGCTCCATACAAATCCTCTGGCCCAAAAGTTTTCTTTAGCTTTATAACACGCCAAATCTGCCATTACATTTGACAAACTTAAGTGTTGGCTTAAATTGTAGATAAACTCCATACCCTTAAGTTCTTCCTCTTGAGTAAGTTCGACTCCTAGAGTCCTGGGGTCTAGAATATATGCTGCAAAATGTATTGGCCTCATTGCCATATTGCATCTTGAAGATACTGATGTTAGAATCTGCTGTTTGCTTTCTTCGCTCAATGTCGAAATCTCATTTAATGCAAAACGTATCTTAGCTACATCTCTATATGTAAGCGTATGTGCGATGCAAACGATTCTGGTCGCTCTCTAAGTAAAATATGCTTTCAGTGACTGGTTCCAAAATACTTATACATTCCCCTGTCTTCGTCCAGAAATCATCACTTAGAATTAAATCTTTAATATCTCTTGAAATTACCACATCTTCTCTAACTGTTTATATTTGAAAAGCTATCTTTTTTGCTTTCAAACTTTTTAAAGAAGTAACATGACTTCCACATCTTGTAGCACAAGGCAATTTTAGTGTTTGTTTCTTCACCCTGCCTTGATTTTATCAACAAGGAACTTAATCGTTGACTCCTTTTAACAGTTTTTATTATATTTATGGCTTGCATAATAAACACAGTTACTTCTTGTATCTTTACAATATCTTGGCACAACAAGTTAAGGATATGTGCACAGCAACCGAGAGGAACAACATGTGGATATTTGAGTTTTGTTAATTCGAATGCCTTTTGTATATTTCTAGCGTTATCGCCAATAAGTACAAGAAACTTATTTGCTCCATACACTTTCATTACTTTTTCAACTTCTTGGCTAAGGTTCACTAGTGTGAGGATTACTTTCTGTATTCAAACTTTTAACGTATGCAGGTTGAGGTTTTGATATAAGAAAGTTTATTATTCCTTCATTTCTTAAATTAGACCAGCCATCGCACTGAAGGTGTAAGTAACTACAAGCATTTAGTTCCTCATTTAACTCAAAACGCATTTCTCTATATATTTTATCTAAGTATTTTGTCGCTAAAGCTTTACGTGAAGGTATTTTAAATTTTGGTTGCAATTTTTCGAAAAATTGTATCCATAAAGGATGTTGCACCATCGATAATGGCGTCCCTGTTACAAATATAGCTCTCGCTAATTCTGTTTTTATATGATCATCGGTGTCTTGAAACTCAGCATTTATTGTAGTGTTAGCAGACGACGAGGGGCTTATAAAAGAATCATTTGTCTCTATCTCTGACAGTCCAGACATTTTGGTTTTGGACGAGCTATCTTTTATAAGTTTCATAGAGTCTTTTAATGTTTCTGGAGATTTTGGACAAGTGATAAGATGTTGAAGCATTTTGGCAGCATTACTGAATTTGTAGACCTTATTACAAAGCTTGCAAGAAACAGACTTGTTTGGTAAAGTACGGTAGTGCTCCCATATGCGTAAATCTTTAGGTCTCCCCATTGAACCTAAAAAAATGAACGATGATTAGTTGGTCTGACGAAAATTCAACAATAGAGTGCCTATTTTTTTACAATGATTATTTCTTGTTATTTACAATAAATTTATTAAAAAAATAATAAAATAAATACAAAAAACCTTTGTAAAATTACATCTCCTCGGAGGATTAAACGCAGACGCTAGTTTATTATCGTATTGTTCTGTATTTTTCTCAGCAACTTCTTTAATTCGATTAGGTTTACGCATATTATGTTAAAAATAAATATCTAGTACACATCTTAGGCTATCCACCATTATTATCCAATGACGACTCTCAGCTAACTATGCACTATCATCCAAAATAAACGTGTATGGAAAATTTTATCCCAGTAGTTAGTTCGGTTGAGGATTGAGGATAATTGCATCAACATACGAACATACCTACATACTTTTATTTACATAACGCAAGCTAAATAAAAGCTTGTAATAATACATCTAATTTTAAGTTAAAATTGTTAAGTGATCATGATATAATTGTATCATTCAAAAATCCACTTACCTTTAATTATTTCTTGTTAAGTATAAATATTATTTCAAATCTGCTCCCTTAATATGCACTTTTTTACTGCTTTTCCTACCTAACACGTTACCAGGAAGTCACGTTACCAGAGTCAGAGTAATAGTGAACACGTTTGACAGTGATTGTCGTCGCCTCATATTCAGCGTCGACGAATAGGGGAATCCCCAGTCATAATGTATTGCATGCGTGGCGGTCTTACTTCAAATCCATAAACAAAGAGATAATTACAGAACTCGATACTAGATGGCGCTGTTTTTGTTTGAAGAAAGTTTGCGGGCTAAAATACATAGAATTTCATCAATGACTTCCACAAAGAACAACATTTCTGTTTTTTCTAAGTCCGTATCTCTTCCGTATATTTCATAAGATATAAGCTTGGGCTACATTGTTATGCAACGTGATTTTGTCGCTGTCTTGCTAGCAGGGTTGACAGATATACGATTTAAATCGTACTCATACTATTATTTGTCTATTTTTTAATGTACGATCGTAAAGATTATGATCGTATAAACCGACTTTTTTACCTGGCAACATTTTTATTATGAAACGAACATGCTCACATCATCAGTCATTTTGTGCTAAATATTTCATAAAAACGTTATTTAATACTTTGTGGATTATTAATTTAGTTGATAATCACTGGAAGTAAAATGGATGCTAATTTGAGAGATCAAGATCTTCGTATAAAACAGTTAATAAAAGAAAATCTACGTAAGTACTCTTTTTATACCTAGGTAGGTAAGGTATAATAAACACAAAAGGTACTTAGATCGCGTGTGTTTTTATTCTAATAAATTTAATTTAAAATTGTAGAAAGAAAAAATGTCTGCCATAAAGCCGATCTCCAAATATATTTGGCGATAGTGAGACCCAGTGTCCAGATGATTTACCCAGCGTCGTCGCAACAAAGAAAAAAAACGAGGATAAAGTAAAAGAAAATTTACTGAAAGAAGAAACAAAATGTTCTAAATGCTTAATTTATGGAGAAGAGGATAAAAGAAATGAGTATTTCGGACTGTTAGTGGCTCAAGAATTTAAATATATACGGCCATGTGTGCGAACGAGGTGTTATGAAGAAATTTTAAAGTATCTACGGGAAGCAAAAGGCCAATATGTTGATCAACTGCAACATGAAAACACTGAAAATTAATTACTTTCATTTTATTATATATAGATTTTTAAAATTTCCTGAAATATTATTAGTTAACGTTTTATTTAATATTGTAGAATTGATCAATACAATTTATAAAAATAATTTATTGGTATTACTTACATATTTTCAAAAAAATACGTAAAAACCTATTTTTTTGGGTGATTATGGGAGTTTATGGGTGTTTATTGGGTTTTTACCAAAGCACCGGGTTTAAACCCGGTGCTTTGCCCATCTGTATTTTAGGACATCATTAGATTTATTCTAACTGTCAAAAAATATTCAAATGACTCTTCCAATTCTGAATTTATAGATTTGCAGTTTTTTAAGTATTCGAATTCCTATGTTTATTAAACGTCTCATAAAATGTAAATTTGAAGACTAAAATAAAGTTTCTGGAGCGTACACGATCACCTTCTCTCCCTATTTGCATCGAAACACCCATATTATGTTACGCATGGTTAATGGACAATTATATTGTTTGTGTTATTAGATTGGATTCAGTTGTGTGTAACATCCTTTTATTTGTACACATTTCTTTTATGAATACAGGAATATAGCAATTATGTAATGATTATTATTGATATATTAAAATATACTAAAATAGTTCAATTTAAGTTGGGATGTACAGTTGATTCTATTTACCCAACCCGTGTTATTGTTTATAAATTTTATTTAATTATCCGTATTTTATTAGCCGTGTAGGACCCGCCAATAGGTCACCCTTTTCTTTTCCGTAGGTGTCGTAAGAGGCGACTAACAAGGGAACTTGTGGTGGAGGGATGGGCAGCAGCGTCCCTCTTAAAAACATCACCTAAAACCAAACTGTGGTTGCAAACCCACCTGCCAAGCGTGGCAGCTACTGACAAAACCCTCCTTATGGGGGGGGACTATGTTCAGCAGTGGTCAGTTAACGGCTGACACAACATATATATAAATTTGTTGATATTGTTCACCTGGCAACTACTATAATTAGGTATGTGATCAAACTAGCTATATCCGGCGGCTTCACCTGCGTGAATCAGTACCTAAAGTATCCTATATGCTAAGTTGGGATATAAGCTGCTCTTGTACCTAATTTCATGCAAATCCATTCAACTGTTTTTGCGTGCAAATTTAACAAATATCCATCCGTCCATTCATCGTTACAAACTTTGCAAATATCTCTGAGCATGTAATGTCGGGAGAAGTCACACATATCTCTATTTATTTATTTATTTATAGAAACACCAACAGCACATTGCATTATAACATATATAACAAATATTAAATATAATACAATGTTATTATTACACATGCCTATGCGTATGAAAAAAAAATAGAACAATTTTAAGGAATTAGCTGATAATAGATTACAAATATTTTAAAAGTTACATTCTTAGTTATGGAAATACACATACATATAATATAACCGGAGTTGTGAATATCAGTAAATATTATTTTTTATTTAAATAAATGAAAATTAAATGGCAACCCCGCCTGCTTCAATGTATGAAAATGGAGCGTTACTACGCTACTTGCACTATTCATTGGTTTACGCTGGTGGCGTACCAGTGAGGGAGTTTAGTTCAGCATAAATTTTCTAAACTGAATACTTTTAACACAAAAAAGCAAGAAATAAAACCACACGCCATGAGACGAGACAATGAAGAAATTAAAAAAAAGCTTCGTCCGTTTTCATAGAGAGCTACGATAAAAGGCGCCGCCAACCAGAAAGGCGGGAAAAGAAAACAAAATGGCGGCGAATATAAATCATCCTGTTGACAAGCGCGGGCAGCGCTGCAATAACTGGTGCATATTGTGAATACTGTAGTATAATTGAATCTCTGAAAGGTATGCACATAAAGTCTTATAGAACAACGGTCCCTGACTTTTCAATCTTTTAATACACCCCAATGATATGACCTTCAGATACATTGTGCTTGGTTTCTTCCTAAAAACCTGTTTTTTTGTGATGCAACTGAAATGATAATCTCTCCTCAGGTGGCACCTGTTGGCGGAGTACCAATGAGCGATGTAGTATAATGATGAAGTAGGATGAAGGTAGACTCCTATCAGGTCGGTCTTCACGCGGTTCCCCCTGGAAACCATCGTGGTTATTACTTGTGGAATTTATCACGATGGGCCTGATTTCACTGACCTGCTTTTATTTTCACCCATCTTCCCTTTACAGGTGCCCTGCCAGCGTATACCGATAGCGCAGGCAGGGTTACCATTCCATTTTCATCCCACAAAAGAAACACTTCTTGGGTTCTATTCATGTGTGTTCAGATCATCATTATCATCATCTTCCTACCCTTATCTCAATTATTATTTGGGGTGAGCGTAATATGTTTTTATCCATATTACAAAAAGATTTAGCTTATAGTTTTACAACCAGCCGCCTGCCTAACGTCAACCCTCTTTGGGAAAATTGTGTGTTCAGATAATATTTACTAATATTATAAATGTGAAAGTGAGTTTGTTACCTTATAGCTCCTCATCGGCTTAACCGATCACTATGTAATTTTTTTTGATCGGTGAAAATGGAATGGCAGGTGCTGTAACCGCCTGCGCTAATGGGATACGCTGGCGGAGCACCAGTAAAGGGTGATCGATGAGAATGAAAACAGACCAGTTAGTCCATCATGACTAATTCACAAGTAATTAGCCATGATAGTTTCAAGGGCGAACCGCGAGAAGGTCGACCTGGCTGGGTATATTGCTATCAATGGGATTCTCAGTCTCCAATACTAAAAATCCCTTTCCCCCATCACTGTGTAATTTGGTATACACGCACTATATGGGGTGGAGAAGGATATAGGCTACTTTTTATCACGCGTAAAAATATCCCGGTCACGCGGACGACGTCGCGGGTAAAAGCTAGTAGTTTGTAAAGAATATCTTCAATTCTACAATAAACAGTTCACTTATTATTTTGTTAGATAATATCTTTACGCCAGGCTTCTTACCGTGTAGGCAGAGAGAATTTAATGTCAACGGCCTCTACCATACGCGCGCCCGTTTCTGAGATACGTGAGTTTTCTCTAAATTACGTTTTAACTTGAAGGATGAATTCATGAATTAATGATGTTTACGCGCTTCTGTTAGATCTTTGTTTATTTCTATCAAATTGTTTACAATTCGATAAACAAAAACAAAACATGGAGATACGTAATTGAACTACAATGGCGGATAGATATACTTAATCTTAAAATAAATACATGTATACAGTTCTTGAAACTTGTGGAGTAATGATAATGAAATAAACGTATAATATATATATATACGACGTGACACACATATATATATATATATAT